ATTCATCTTATTGTAAGTTTGTAAAACTTAAATTTAAATGTAAGCCTATATTCAAAATCACTAAAAAAAATTGTATATAAGTACACGTATGGGAAGCTTGGATGAAAAACTTATGACCAGACCCGAAATTTCCTTTTTTTTTTCTTTTTTTTTTTGACTGGATAGACAGGAGAATACAGGTCTAGACAGATTTGATGACCTCTACAAATTAGTTTTTGTGCAGAAAATAGTGGAAAATACATTTGGTAGGAGTTGAACATCATAATATTGCTCTAATAATGAAATTATGTTGACGCTTCAGTACTGAAAATCATGCGTTTAAGGTGATCTAGTTCTGCGGGAAAATGTCTCGAACAAAAATCTATTTGGGGCCAAATCAAGTCTAGAGACTCATCTCGACTTTGGAATAAGGGTATGATAAAATATTGGGACCTGTTTCGAAGGGGATGGCTGTAGGGGTCAGTATGGGTGGATTCAGTTCGGTTTCACAGAAAAACCTGAAACCTATTCTGTGGGGGTTGGTTTTAAGTTTCTGAAACTGGAACCTATCTCATGAAGATCGGTTATAGTCTTGACAGTTTCAGAGTCAGTTCTAGGGTCTATCCATGAAACCTGTTCTTTCTTTGTTCCTCATTAAAAAGAAAAAAGAAAAAAGAAGCATGTTCTTTAAAAACTTGATTTTTAATAAATATAATATATAGTTTAAAATTTGTATTATCTTTATTGATTAAATTGAGTAATTTAATATGTAGATTATCATTATATAGTTCAAAGCTTATAATTTAAATTTAAATTTTGTAAATATCACCTTTTACATTACTTATTGTACATATTTAAATATTAAACTAAAAATAAATGATCAAATAATTTAAGTAATTGATTGGTTAAGTGAGACCATGGCCTTTGTAATCATGAGTGCTTGGATTCAAATCTTCACATCCCTAAAAGTATTATTACAGGCCCATTACATTACTTATTATACACAACTTTGTCAAGACATTCCAGGCCCATCCACAAGGAATATTTATTGCAGAAAACTTTACATGGAAGAGTTTGTGGAATTATAAACTCCTCCCACCCAGAATTATATTACTCTCTTCCTCTAAAAATGCCTAACAAACTCTCTTCCAACTAGGCTCAACCTGTTAGTTCAGCACATCCCAATTGAGAGAATCTGTCCTTTATGCCACAAGGAAGATGAATCCACTGAACATGCCTTGTTTTATTGCCCTCTCCCTCTCCCTCTCTCTCTCTCTCTCTCTCTCTCTCTCTCTCTCATTTGATCGATCTAGTTTGGGAGGGAACTTGAGAACTTCAGCGCACCCAAACAAGTTTGGTGACTAGATGCCATTGATGATAGTGCATGCCATCTCTCTCTCTCTCTCATCTTCTGGCATTTCTCACATTCACCTTGAAGGCAATGCATAAATCATGGTTTTTAAAACCGATTCGGAGACTAAAATCGGTCAAGGGTCCAGTTATCGGGTCGAACGGTACGATCATTCAAACCGAATGATCGGCCCATTCTGACAAAAAATAAAAAAAAATTTAAAAAAATAGTCAAAATGGTTTGAACGATTAACCGCCTGATTCAGCAATTTGTTTACCAAAATCAACGATTTTTTGAGAAAATCCTATTTTAGGGGGAAACAAAACCAGTCACCAAGTTTTTCTAGTCTGACCGTCTGGTTCGGTCCCATTTGAAAACCATGGCACAAACAATGGTTGCAAGAACCTTATCAATTTATCTCTCAAGTTGTGTCAAGAGACATATATGACCGAAGTTGATCTTTAATGCAATGTCTTTTGTTGCAGCAAAAGAAAAAAGAAAATGTGAAAATCCATCGACATGCCTAGAATTAGGCATATGTCTTTATTTTTTATTTTTTCTAATTAGGCATATATCTGGTCTGAAGCCGAACAACAGTGCATGTGCACCCCTCTACTGCAATGACACATCAGAAAGTTTTATAAAGGAAGACATTTTATACGCCTAACCAGCATATGTCTCGCACAAAATTTGGGGAAAATTCTCAATAGGTACCCTGTACTTTAGGTCAAGTGTCAATTTAATACCCGTACTTTAAATCGTAACAGTCTAATACCCGAATTTTCAATTTGGGATAGTTTGGTATCTGACATTAGATTTTTGTCGGTTAGAAGATAAAAAGTCTTAAATACCCCCAATGCTATTTCGACCGAATAAAATAATTAAAATAACCCATCGAGCAATGCAAGTAGGAACCACTGTTCATACTTGCATTTACAGAGACGTCAAGAACCAACTCCCTCACGCTGGTGGTGTCAGGCGAATGCGCCACCAGGAAATGACATAAAGTACATGATTTAAAGTACGGGTATTCATTTCTTTATCAAGAAACTAATTGAATCTCGATAAACTGATACATCTCTTCCTATTGTTCTTCTTCTTCCTCTACAAAAATATCTGCTTTGAAATGGAGTTTGATTAATTTTATGTTTTAATTACCTAGTCTACTTTTTTCCCCTTGAAGCTTTTCATGTAGAAGGAGCTCTGTAAATGAAGAAGAAGAGAGCATGGTGTTTTCCAAGATTTTCTTCATCCTGATTATCATTTGCTTTAGTGCCGCTATCGCCGTTTCTAGCCAACATGGACTTAAGTCCAATGGTTCTTCTATTCTTGCTGGTATTGAACTCCCCGATCACCTAAGCTTCAATTCAGTCACAACTTTGGAAAATACAGGGTGTCGTCTCACAAAGACGAAGACTTCTTCGCACAAACCAACAGAAGCAACCACTCCAGAGGAAGAAGATGGTGATGACGACGAAGATAAGATAGTAGGAGCTTCATCCAGTAAACCAACGGTGAAGCTCCAGCTCAAACATAGATTGATGACTCAAAGAGATGAACCAGAACACATTTTCAAGGTTAACAAAGAAGAAGTTGGCAGGGATAAAGCCTGTGGTTGCATCGGCAGCGGCATCGGAATCTGACACAAGTTGGGCAGCCGGAAGACTTGTGGCAACTCTGGAATCCGGTGTCAACCTTGGGTCAGGCGAGTACTTCATGGACGTTTTTGTGGGTACTCCTCCCAAGCATTTCTCTCTGATTCTTGATGCTGGTAGCGATCTCAACTAGATACAAAGTCTTCCCTGCCATGACTACTTCGAGCAGAATGGCCCCCCATACAATCCGCAGGAACTGTCGTCCTTCCAGAATGTCACTTGCCGTGGTCCTCGCTGTCAGCTGGTCTCCTCCCCTGATCCCCCACAACCTTGCAAGGCCGATAACCAGTCTTGCCCCTACTTCTACTGGTATGGTGATTGGTCGAACACGACCAGAGATATTGCTCTGGTGACCTTCACAGTGAACCTGACATCACCAACCGAAAAATCAGAATTCCAGAAAGTTGAGAATGTCATGTTCGGATGTGGACACTGGAACAGAGGCCTCTTCCATGGGGTTGCCAGATTGCTGGGATTGGGGAGGGGCCCCCTTTGTCGTTTCTCCAACATTTCTTCTCTTTGTCGGCTTCTCTATTGTTTCTCCAACCTTTCTTTGCCGGCCCCTCTATCGTTTCTCCAACTGATTTTGAAGAGAAGGGTGGAATTGAAGTGCTAGGAATGAAGAGGAAGGTCGGCTATCTTCTCCTCTTTCATTCGTTCAACCCAAAACAAAAACAACAAGGGATTAGGGAAAGGGAATAAGAAGGTTTTTTCGTAAAAGGGTATTTTTGGTATTTTTGAAAATTTTTAACTTGCATGTGAATTTCTAACTAACGAGAATCTAACGTTGGGTACCAATTTGTCGCAAATTAAAAGTTCGGGTAACAAATTGTCCCAAATTGAAAGTTCGGGTACTAGATTGTCATGATTTTAAGTACGGGTACTAAATTGGCACTCGGCCTGAAGTACAGGGTACCTATCGGGAATTTTCCCTAAAATTTATTTGTCCATTGCGTTATTGGTTATGGGGACGATTAGGGATTCTGGTTTTGGTTCAGTTTGGAGAAAAATTAAGATAAAACCAATAAATTATGATTTGAAAAATTTTTAGATTAAGCCAAACAATTTTATTATAGAAATCGATAACAGTTTGGTCCGGTTTTAATACATTTTGGTCCATTCTATTGGGTTTGACCCAATTAAAAAGCCTAAATAACATGCATACTTACATAAATAACAAAAATAATTTAAATATTAAATTAAAATGTTAACAAGTGTCACCTATTAGTATTGTATAAATTACAGTCACACTTTCTCAAACATAAACAACTCCTTGAGCATCAAATTACAAGTTAAAATTAAATGTTAAATGAATATATATACACATGTTTAAACATATTATATATACATATATATACGTTACATTAATAAATATATTATTAAAAATTCGGTTTAATACAATTTGCGGTTTGATCCGGTTTCTAACATTTAGTAGACCAGACCAAACAAAAAAAAATTAGAAAAGTTCTTAGATCAAACCAAACCGCTTTAAGACCAAATCAGACCAAATTGCTAATTTCGATTTGGTTTGATGCATTTTAGCAGTCTAGACCATATAATGAACACCCGTAGGGACAGCATCTAGAATGGGGTTGTCAACAGGTCAGGTCTTATTTAGGGCAAGATGTAGCAGTTCCGAATTGATTATTAATCGTAGACCCAGAATCATCCCGATTATTAATCAGGATAACTGGGTTTGATCCAATTAAACCCAATCATACTGATATCTATAATTATTTATTAATAATAATTATAATGCAACCTCAATAAAAATGACAGTAAAATAGTAAACTGCTTATATGTTAATAAATCAAACATTTTATCAAAAAAAAATCTTATATATTCTCTATCAAACTTAATTTTTTAACATAAAAAATTACAAGTATCAATTGTTAACTGAATAATTGATTCGGGTAATCGGTTCGGAACAAGGAAGAAGCAGAATCTATCCAAACTATTTAGCCCAAATGCCCAATGACATCCCTAAATTTATGATCTAACTCATCGGACAACGGGGACGAAACGAAGCTCGTCGAAGTCTCGAAGACTCAAAGCTCCTAGCTGTAGACGGGTCGGGTGTGCTGGATCCAAAATCAAAGTCGATCAAGATTCAAGAGAATCAAGACATAGTGAAGTAGTGAACCCAGTCAACTCGTCGAGGTTCTCGAAGAAGTGAACCCAGTCTCGAGAAATCGTTCCCCAATCCAAACGCTTCTTCAATCTTCTGTTAGGAGAAGGCCAATCGAGGGTTCCAACTACCAAGTTTCGATTTTCGAAAACGGTTGTTCTCTCACATTAGACTCGAAGTCAGGACCTTTTGATCGATAGCCGAAAGGAACAGTCTATCTTCGGTGTGGAGATCTTTATTTTTCAACTTCAGGAAATAATATCCTTCTCTGTTAATCGGTAGAACTCTCACTGTTCAGATTCGTTTCTTCATTCTCCTTTCGTTCTCTTCAAATTTCAATTTAAAGTGTTTTTTGTTAATGTTGTAAATAATGCTTATATATGAATCAGGTATTAGGCAGTTGCAACCACTATGTTCATATCTAAACTCTCACAACTTGGATGGATGGCCAGGGAGCTCACAAGAGGTATGATTTTTTCTTCTTCACAAGAGGTATGAATCAGGTATGATTTCTTCTTCTTCTTCTTCTTTTTTACATTTTCGTGAAAAAAAGGTAATCGTAAACGTATGATATTTCGTTCTCTCCAAATCCATCAGAATACTTGGCTGATTAGAACGGGCCCCATGAGCTCCTGACTTGGAGATGGAGGAGCCTTTTATTGGATTGGAACCATTTCAACAAGCATTGCAAAGACTTGATTATTGTGGATTAACATCTCCATATTTTTTGGGAGGACAGGCAGTGGTGTTATTTTTTTCAGAAAAGGATCTCTTACTTATTGAGAGGTGTAGTATACTCTCTTTACAGTCCAGTCCATTGGGTAGGGATAAGGCTTTCATGACAAAAAGAAAAAAAAATGTAAAAACGAAAAAACACTCATTGTACTAAAATTTAATATGAACAAAACAGAGCACATGCCTTACTGCAGTGGTGGCTAATAGATCATAACTTGGGTTAAAGTGGGTGGGTTACGTTGGATAGCAACCCACATACGTGATATGCAAATGGGGTCATTGGTGGATATTGGTTGTTAGTGGGTGGGTGGATTGATCTTAAACCCACATCCAACCTATCCCAATCTACCTAGTTGCCAGTTGCCACTGTTATTGGGTGCTAAGCTCCAAATAGCCTTTCAGTTTCTCAGGTCCAATTAGAATCTCTGTCAGGGATGAACTGTTGGTGATCATTCAAGGGTTAAAATTTCTAAGATTAAAAGGGTGGAAAGAGTGGACGTTGAAGGAGATTGACAAGCAGTTATCTCTTGGCTGAAGAATAGAGAAGAAATTCCATGGAGGATCAAGGATGAAGCCTTTGGTAAGACAGGTACTTTCCCTAGGGGGTCCCTTGAACACCTCATTCATTTGGATACCTAGAAGTGCCAAATTGATGGCTGACACATTGGCTAGAGTGGGAGTGTCAAAGGTTCATATAGAGCGGGGTTGTCCAGGGCTGGGCTGTAATTTGTTACTTGTTAGTATTTATTTCTGTTTAGCTTCAGCTTTGTACTTGGCCTCTTATTCCTTTGGGGCCTTTCTGATGTATTCTGGGATTTTTTTTTAGTTCCTTAATGAATGAATTTTACTTGTTACTTTTTTTATTCTCTGAGATTTTTGTCCATAGAAGTTCTTGCTTTTATCTCTTGTGCAGTGAGGTAATCGCTATAGTACTTTGTTAAGCGTGCAGAATGCCCTATATAAGAACTCCTTGCTTAGTATGTCCATGGAGTTATTTAGGGATCAAAAAGAATTTGTTTTATCTGAACCTTCATTTCAACTCATCTGTGTAGCATGAATGCTTTAGAAAGAAACTTCTCAATGGAATTGCTCCCTTTGTGTGTGTAATATAGGTGTTTTGATTTCTCTGCATTGCCCTTTGACACCAATACTTTTCTTTTTGTCAGGTCAATTTGCATCTGTAACTAGAAAAGCACATTTGCAAGGGCCTTACAGTCGTCATTTTCAGCCTCTGGTTAGCTATTCTTTTTCTGATTGCAAGGTCTAGTCACCTAATTGTTATGTTAGCATTAATTGAGCTCATAGTCTTTTCTAGAACATGGCCTTCTCAGGCTGTAGTTAAAGTTATTTTGTGAATGTGCTTTAGCAGCTAATAGTTAACAATGTCTCTGATTGGTCCTTCAAATTTATTTATCTATTTATTCTCGGAGTTAATATTTCCCTTGCAGATGTATGGACTGCTTTTTGGATTATCCGATGTCTGACAGATATTTTCCCATTCACTGGGTGCTTTTTTCTTATGCATGGTTCAAAAATGGCATCTTGGTATGCATGACCATTATCATTATTATATGATGTGAAATTTAGATGTACCAGCATCTTTCAAGAAGATTTAGATATACCAATATATTGAATAAGTGCTTAGGAAGTTTAAAGGAAAGTTTTGTTAGATATAATGTTACTTCTGTTAGAAAGGGATGCATTTCAGTTTTTCTATGGGCTACATTTGGAGGTGGAACTATGTGATGATTGAGTTGATGCGTCATGAATAGGTTCATTGATGTATTGTTGCTTTATCAGGGAGACCAGATCTCTGGCCTTGAGAGCTATGGTACCAGGATACTAGGGGTGTTCACGGGTTGGTTCGGTTCGATCGCAGGCTGTTTGGTCAACTCAACCGACCTAGTCGGGTTGGGGGGTCTTGGGGAGTTTGTCACCAAAACCGGCCGACCATTAATGAAAACCGGTCAGCTTGGGTTGGTTTTTGGTTTGGTCAGTCGGTTCAAAAGATTTAAACTTAAAAGTCAAATTTTAAAAAAATGCTATGGTATTATTAAAAAATTAAAATTTACAATATAAAATATTTTAGACTAGGAAATATGGGAATTTTCCTACTTTCTCATATTAAAAAAATTAAACTTAAAATATAAAATACTAATATATATAACTATGATCGGCTTGGGTCAGTTTACAAACAACCAAACCGAAACCGACCCGACCTAGTTGGGTTGGGGAAATTGTAAACCGAAGTCGACTGAAAATACTAGAAAACCAACCAACTTGGGTCGAGTTGGGTCGGATTGGGTTGGTTGGTTTCATTGGTGTGATGATAGGAATGGCAATGGGGCAGGGATTACATTCCCCATCCTTGACCCCGACCCCCAAATCACCCCATATCCCCATCCCCGATCCCCGGCGGGGAAAGGAATCCCCCCTCCATCCCCGACCCCAACGGGGATGAATTCCCCGTCGGAGACCCGAATCCCCGATAGGCTGAGAGTGATTACCCAATTCCAAAGAGATTGAGAGAAAGACTGAGAGTGAGGTTGGCGACAGAGAGAGAAAGAGAGAGAGATTGAGAGAAAGACTGAGAGTGAGGTCAGTGACAGAGAGAGAAAGAGAGAGAGATTGAGTGAAAGACTGGGAGTGAGGTCGACGACAGAGAGATAGATTGAGAGAAAGACTAAGAGTTTGAGACAGAGAGATTGAGACAGAGAGAGAGAAAGAGAGAGAGGACCATTGCAAGAGTTGAGGTTGGCGATGAGAGAGAGAGAGTCTGATGGGCGACGGCGATGATAGACGAAGGTTGAAGGAAGATTAAAGAACTGAAACTCTTCTTTGATTATCTCTTCTCTGTCACTCGAGTATCTCTGTCCTCTGTCCGATGTCTGACGGGTGGGTGGCGACAGCAACGGAGGTCAGCGAAACGGTGACGAAGACGAAGGCATGAAGCTAGGGTTCAGAGTGACAGAGTTCTCTCTTCTCTCTGTCAAAGACTCGAAGTCAAACATCACACCTTGTTTAGACTATAGATGCATTTGCGGATCAGCTAATTTACTACAAGTTTCTTTGACAGGAGAAACTCTATATGTGATAATGTTCCAGAAGCATTGATACTATAAATTAAGTAATGAACGTGTATGTATTACATAATATAAAGTGTGCTTCTCTCAGCCATAGTTCTTTACTTATAAAATTTAATTGACTACATAAATCATTTACTTCAAAGCAATAATCAAGTGTGATTGATCAAAAAAAAAAAAAGAATCAAGTGTGAATAAATTTATCAATGTTACTACTAAATGAAAAACATTTTCCATGAATCCTATGGATCTCTTGTTAATGTGTCTGTCAACATTGAGAGTCTTCACTCTTGGTAGTAGAAGAGGGAGTGAGTGCTACACAGCTGGTGGATGGTGTGGGCTGCAAAGTAGGTAAGCTGCCCACAAGATACCTGGGTATGCCTTTAGGGGAGAAATGCAATGCAAAGAAGATTTGGGAGCTGATTGTGGAAAGGGTGGAGAGAAGGTTGGCATCTTGGAAAGGGAGATATTTGTCAATAGGCGGGAAGCTGGTTTTGATTAAGAGTGTTTTTTCCTCCCTTTCCACTTACTATCATTATTGAAAAGAAAGGAACTCATGAATTAAGAAAATTGGAAAATCAAAGATGGAGTTATATTGATGGGTGCAATCTATGGAACCTGGGTCCATCTGGAATTGGAGGCATATTCAGAAACTGGGAAGGCCATATTAACCATCATTCTTAGGTCCAGTTGGAGTTGATGGTTCTAATGGAGCAGAATTGTGGGCACTGCTGCGTGGATTAATTCTGGCTAAATCACTCAATCTCAATAATTTCCAAATTGAAGGAGACTCTAAGACAATTAATTGTACCTTGGGTCAAAAACAGAAGGGAGTAAGACGGTTTAGCCCAGGGTCAGAATTTATAGGCTCAAAGTACTGTTGAGGTAGGTGCCAGCTCGGAATTGATGTCAATTCACGGGCGGGCATTGGTGCATAGAGTGTGGGTTGTTGCCATTTTGAATGTTTATAGCTCTGCAGTGGAAATCAGGAATCTGCATTGGGCCTGTCCGTACTCCAAAAACAGAATGGGGTTGTAGAAATATAGACACATGATGAGAGAGATAGCCGACCTGTCTTTGGAGATTGGGGCCTAGTTTAGGTGGATCCCTAGATCAGCCAACTACGTTGCTGATAGGCTATCAAAATATGGGTAAATCAGAGGCAAATGTTTTGGGGAACTATATTTTTGTAAGAAGTAGGGCTGAGTTGGCCAATGCTAACTTGGAAGGGGTGCAGGGCACTAGACATTATAATCAAACATTTTTTTGAAGCAATAAAATTCTGATGTATTGATCAAAAAATAAGTTGTCTTTTCATTCTATTGTATACTAGTATTTGACAATATTGACGGAGAATGCTAATTATTCACTTTATAGGGACACCCAAATAAGGACTTTCAACTCTTTAAATAACTTTAACAATACTAAATCCTACTACAACTAAAAAAAAAAAAACAAAAATAGTTCCAAGAGTGATCCAAAGAAATAGAAAGACCCAGATCCCATTACTGATTAATACACTATCACTAAAAACTCTCTAATATTCCTCTATTAACGTAATTGACCATTTAAAGTGATTTACCCTATAATCTGAGATACTAACAAACAAGAAAGTAACTTAAAAAAAAAAAAATTCAAAATACTTAAATCCAAAACACCCAGAAATTATGAAATTGGAATTGGACGAGAAATTAGGAGAAAAATGATTTCTTTATCAATGGGTTCTTTTCCTGCTTCCATGCCTGCATTACTTTTACACATTTGCATCAATTTCAGTGTTTGATTATTACCTTTGGGGACTCAATTTGACTTTAGTCAACTTTTTAAATGAACTATAGTATTTGCTTATGCTTTTCACCTCCCAGTTCTTTAGAATGGTCAGAACATCATGTTTGAACCAAAATGGGGAAAAACTAACATGATGCCAACATGCCTTTTTTCAGAAGCATTGTACTTTTTCAACCACAGCTGCTGACAACACTCAAGAGGAAAAGAATGAGCAGAAAGAGAAGTAAGTTTCTGATATTTACATGACCCCGAAGACAGTTGTAAGAACCTGGCATATGTGATGTCTGTCAAGTGTTTAAATGCCATTTATCATTACTTGTATGTGTATGCTAAACTTTCTTCAAAAATTCATGTTGGATAATTCATTCTCTAAGCAAACCAACAGGTGCTGGACTGATGATGTATTTTTACACATCCTTGGTGACATTTGGTGCATCTCCATATGTCCTCTTAACATGAATATGCAGTTTTCTGTTCCTGTCAATTTCTTCATACTACCATGTTTTATATAACTATGCAGGATATCGGTGACATTTGTTGACAAGGATGGAGAGGAGAAGCATATCAAAGTCCCTATTGGAATGTCTATGTTAGAAGCTGCCCATGAAAATGACATAGAACTTGAAGGTAAGTATTGTGAGCAATTTCCAAGTGTTTTAGACCAAACTACAATCCATTTCTTCTTTTTCTTTGTTTTTCTCTTCCAATCTTTTATGGTATGAGATTTTGGTTTGACAAGTTCTCTGCAAAACATTGGAACATAATGGATCTTTACAGGTCTAGAATTACTACTAAATCGGTCTTCATCCTGTCAAAGTGAAACTCAATTAAACACAAGAAGCAATCTCCAACAAGTAATGGAGGGGAAGCCACATGGAATCACTAAAATAACTTCCCTAAATAAGTCTTATGTTCAAACATGTTTCTTCTCTTTGAACAATTATGTATTTTTTAAATTGTCTGGACAATTGTTTGATTTCAGCATTATCAACTTTATGAATATTGAACATGTTGGCCTCTGCTAAAATTGAAGGGTGATTTATATGTGATTGTATTCATACCTTAATGTTGATTTAAAACTCAAAAGGGATTACCAGTATTGCTTTTAATGTGATTTCAGGAGCTTGTGAGGGCTCACTTGCATGTTCCACATGCCATGTGATTGTGATGGTAAGATATTGGTACTTGGTAGCCCCCATCCCCCATCCTATCCCCCTTTTCTCCTTGGGACGATCATTTCTGGTTATTCCAAGACATTAATAGGCTAAAGATTGATTGTGTTCTTGTGTTTAGGATATGGAGTACTATAACAAACTAGAGGATCCCACAGATGAGGAGAACGACATGTTGGATCTTGCTTTTGGTCTCACAGAAACGTATGCCCCTTATCATGGACCGGTAAGAAAGTTTTTAGGTCACCATCAAGGAGGGTTTTGAATATGCTTATCTGGATTTTGCAGGTCTCGTCTGGGTTGCCAAGTTATTGCAAAGCCCGAACTTGATGGAATTCGCTTAGCGCTGCCTGCTGCAACTCGAAATTTTGCTGTTGATGGGTATGTAGCAAAACCACATTAGACAATCTCCATGGAAGGCAAGTGGATAATATTCAATCTTGTAAATCATTCAATTATCTCATTTTTGTAGCTTTCCCATTTAGTAAAAGGTGTATGCCCTTTATTTGGTAAGTTATTTGTATAATGCTCAGCCCTCGTTGCATCCTTGGATTATTTACAATTTCCTCATAAAAAAATTACAATATGTTATTGCAAGTGGATCTTGATTGTACTCAATCTCCTTTAGCATCTAACGGTTTGATCAGAAGAACACGAATGAACATGACCATTCTGAATTTACGCCATTGCAAAAAGAATGCCTAGATAGATTTTTTAACTATCTGCTGCTCAAAGAAGATAAGTTAATTGATCATTTGGTAAAATCAATCATCTCATCAGTTTCATGGTTTTGGTCCATTCTTCTCTATGGCAATATATCTATTAAAGAATGTGTCAAATCTCATTATACAAAAAATTCCCTTAACTACGTAAGACAGTTGCTTCTTGACCTCTGTCCTTTAAAGCTGTAAGTGTATTGATGTGCTTTTCACTTGTCTACTCATTGATCAATTTTGCATGGACCCATCTTATTCAATTTTAATTATCTTCTGTCAGTTGGGCCTTTTTTTATCAATAACAGTAACTTTCCATTAATAATAAACAGAATTAATTACAACGAAGGGGAGATAAACTTTCTTAACTCCCCGGGTTGGGCAGGAGCCCCCATAAAAGCGAAAAGAAGAAATTACAACGTTGCCCAAAATAAAGAATCCCAAGCCACCCCTTGCTTAGCTAACCCATCTCCAAGAGAGTTAGCAGATCTCTTCACCCAGCTGTACTTCACTTCCATATCCTTTGTTAGCCACTTAATAGTTTTTCTTTTCATTGCTGAAGTTCCACAACCCTGCCTTATCCTCTTGTAGCCATCCTACCACCACCTGCGAGTCACCTTCAACCACAAGTTTCCTTATATTCAACTTCTTTGCCTTTGAGCCTTTCTTATTCCCTCCAGAACTGCAAAAATCTCATCCCTGAGGGAATCACCTATCCCTATAGGGCCTGAAAACATAGCTGAAACAATCCCTTTCTCATCCCTGAAGACTCCCCCAATACAAGATTTCCTGGGTTCCCCTTCCTCTACTGCTGCCATCAAAGTTCAATTTTACAGAACCATTAGGGGGGAGGGGTCCAAGAAGGACTAGTCCCTGTTCTAATCTGAGAAGCATTAGCAATCTCCTTCCATTTTCTCATCAAGTCATCCAGAGTAAAGTCAGTAAAAAGGTCTGAAGTCTTTAACCACTGTGCTGCCCTTAAGACTATGTTTGGTTTGAAGGGAAAGGTAGGGAAAGGAAGGGAAAGTTGGGAAAAGCTATACAAGGTTTATAAAGGTTTCCTCATCTTTCACTTCCTTTCCCTATTTTTTCCTTCAAACCAAACACGGCCTAAGTGAATCACCTCTATTACAGTTTCAATACTCCTTATCTAAGAAAATCCTTGAATTCCTTTCTTCCCACAATGTCCAACACACAGCAGCCCTTATGCACCTCCACATGGCCCTTCCTCTTCTCAAATGCCACCTTAAAAAGGACAAAAAAAATAGAGTTTGCACAGACATAGGGTGGTTCCATCTCCTCCCAAAAAGAGAGAAAACCCATACCCATATTGTTTAATTTATCTCTACAGTTATCACTGGTCCATCTCAACAACCATCTTTGTTACTGTCAATTGAGTTATTTCTTGATTTCCCCAAGATTCTTTTCTATAATAATGGACGGCCGGTTTTCCAATCTCCTATAAAATTTCCTATTGGCAATCCTTGGAGTTTGGCCGCAATATCAAAGTACAATACATCCTCCAAAACTTATCTTGGAGGCAAGCATGTCCCCAGATACATGAAGCTTGACGAGACTACAAAAATGACAACATAGAATAATCTGTTCATAAGTATGAGCTATTTTTTAATGTTTTTTTTTACCAAATTCATGTGATAATACTTGTTTTAGTAGGCTTGAATTGAAAATTGTCTGAAAGCATCCCTGAAAATTCATGTGATAATCTTCCTAGTTCCCACTTCAATTCCTTTTTATATAGACTAGGGACCATTGCTTTGTAGTTTGTACCTTATTTTTAAAGAAATCAACTTCTTTCATTCTCTTTAATTTAAGGTGGGGGTTATATCATAATACTTATTTTACTTTTCACAAACAAATTAAGAAATAAAAAAGTAAGCCAGAATTTGCATTTAGCACATCGGCTCATCGGCTCATGTTTACACCGGCCTCAAATAAACTGAACTGTAATTATAAACTTGATCGGGTCAAGAAGTTAAGATATTATGTGTCCCTTGGGTTAGAATTACTTGAAGTGAATGATGTGATCATATGGATGGTAAGCCATCAAGCTTGAGGTCACGGGTCACTGGATCCTACTCTTAAACACACACATTAGCATATTGAATATTGGCCATGGGCCCATGGCTGATAATCAGAACATTTCTGTGAACGAATGTGATCAAGCGGTGGGTCCTGAACCATGGGATCATGGGATTATGATGGCAGAAAATGTATCGTGTAATTGCGACTGTGAAACCCCTTGTGGAAGCTCATGATTCATTGAATTGGCTAAGATCGTTGGTAGGGGTGCAACTTGGGTCGACTTGAATTGGCATTTTACACGACTTCGAGCTTAGGCCTATTTAAACTTTGGCAGTAGCCACCCGAGACCATCCAAAGTTGTAGCCCTAATTGTTGGATTCTTTTGCAGTCTTAGTCTCTTTCATAGGAGTCTGGATATTCTCTTCGTAGAGCGCTCTTCACATCATCCTTACAATTAGACCTGTTCATGGGCCGGACCGGACCGGGCTTTTACTGTGTATTAACAAATTTTTTTTAAAGCCCGAGCCCAAGCCCAAGCCCAGCCCGACCATCGGGCCTACAATTTGGGTCCGAGCCCGACCCTCATAAAAAGCCCGAAGCCCGAGCCTGGGCCCGGGCCCGAAATTTAGCCTATATTATTATTATTATTAATGTTGAAGCAGCTGAATAAAGAGAGAGATAGATTGAAATTATAAAGAAAAGAATAATATATATATATATTAAATTAT